TTCAAATGACAAATATAACTGGGTATCGTCGGCATAAAAGTGGGAATTGGAATGTTGGAGATATTTGTGAAACTGCGAGGTATATATGGTGAATAATAAGGGTCCTAAAATAGAGCCTTGTGGCACTCCTGAAGTAACACGAAGTGCCTGTGATATATCGTGATTTGGGATGAGAACTGCCTGGGTCCTATCATGTAAATAATTTTCGGTGAGACTTATTACATTTGGTGACATCCCTATGTAGTGAAGAAGAGCTAACAATAGGCTGTGGTTGATTCTATCGAAAGCTTTCGTGTAATCAAGCAACACTAATACGCATAACTTATTTTCATCAATGGAGCGATAGATGTCGTCTGTGACTTTGACCAGAGCAGTCGTACAGCTGTGTCCTTGACGAAAACCCGATTGATTTTGTGGTAAAATATTGGAAAGTGATAAGTGCTTTCTAAGTTGCTCGTTTATAATTTTCTCAAAGCCTTTTGATAGGGCGCAAAGTATGCTGATGGGCCTCAAATCTTTTGTATCCTTCGGATTGGGGATTTTGGGAAGTGGGAGAACATTAGATTGTTTCCAAACTGACGGAAAAACATTATTTACTATACAATAATTGTAAATATGAGTGATATGAGGAATAATAACAGGACAACAGTGCAGTAACATTTTTATGCTTATTCGATCGACTCCTACAGCGTTAGATTTAATTGACACTAATTTTTCATAGACTTTTAGTTCATCTACAGTTGAGAAGCTGAATTCATTCAAACCCTCTAGAGTATTGTGTGAAAAGAAATTGACAAGATCAGCATCAGGAATTTGATGAGGACTTTGCGAGTTAACAAAATAATTGTTGATCATCGATGGGTTCTGTAAATTTGCTGGAATAGAAGCTGACTGCTTGTTCAGAATACCTAAACTTTTCAACTCTTTCCACATATTATTATTATTGTTAATTCTGAATTGCAAGTATGCCTTCTTTTCTCTCTTTATGGCATAATTTACTTCATTACGTAATGTTTTGAAATAGTTCCAGTCAGCAATATTATGGGTATTTTTATATTTTGTATGCGCCTTGTCTCGCAACCCCATCATCAATTTCAAATTATTTGTCAGCCATGGTGCTCTCTTCTTGGTTATTCTAACAGTTCTGATAGGTGCATGTAAATCGAATAATCCTATGATCGCATTGTTGAATAAAGTAATTTTTTGATCGATATCGTCAATATTTAGAACAGGTGAGAAATCAATTTGTGATAAATCGTGTTCAAAAAGTTCTTTATCGAAAAACCTAAAATCCCTGAAGGTGTGCCAGAAGGGAGTGATCTTTTCTTTCACCTTCCCCAATTCACAGGATACTAAACAATGGTCTGAAATAATAGAGCAATCTACTACTTGTATGTTGAAAATATTGAAATTCTCAGAACATACTATCAGGTCAATAAGTTTTGCAGCTGTAGGTGAATACCTTGTAGGCTGATCAATAACTTGCTTTAAGTCGTATGTATCGATGATATCACAAAGATGTTTAACGCTCAGTTTAGCATTGTCTAAAAGATCCAAATTAAAATCGCCCGTGCATAATATATATTCAAATTTAGGAGCAATAATGCTAAGAGAGTGTTCAAATTCAGATAAAAAAGTATTTTCAGATGTATCAGGAGGACGGTATAGAGTTCCTAGTGCTACTTTCTTATTTTGAAATAAAAAACTTATCCATAACTGTTCGGAATGCAATATTTCTAAACCTTTTACAATTCGCGAACTCAAGTTTGATCTTATGTAAACTGCCAAGCCACCTCCCCTTTTCATGGGTCTATCGCACCTAAACAATCTATATCCTGCCAATGTCACTATGTTATCAGGTATGTTGGACTTGAACCATGTTTCGGAAACTGTAATTATGTCATATTTATTGAATACTGTGTCTCTGAAGTTGGCCAAGTCAGACATAACTGATCGTGCATTGATGTGACATATACTTATGGCCATGGTTATATAATATGTATATGTATTAAAAAAAAAAAAAAAATTAAATGGTGAAATATGATCTTCCGTGTATAATAAATTTCAGAAATTGGAGAAATATTTTATAAATATTAGTAAAAGCTCATATGTATCTATTGAAAATTTATAGAATTTGATGGTTTCTTCTTTTTTTTAGATCTTGTTTCGTGTCGAGGTGGGCTTGGAGTATCTTCACTTTTTCTTTTTGACTGAACCCCTATTTCTTCACCGTCGATATCTCCTTTCGGTTCACAGCTTACTTCCTCACCGCTCTCGTTCTCATCTACTGACGTTGATTCTGGATCTTCGATTTCTTCCGGTTTGTAAATGTACAAGGTCCCATCAATGTAAAGCTCGTTATTCTTAATGAATGCTTCTTTCTTTTGCTTTCTGGCTTCTTTCAATCTTTCGACGAGATATTTGTGTTTTATATAATCAGGTAATGTGTAATCCTCACTTATGTAAATTTTTGTTCCTTTTAACTTTTTCGCTCTGCTCAATATTTGAAATTTTGACGAAAATCTCACCAATTCAACGCTTACTGGTCTGTTGTGGCCTTCCGTTTTCTTCCCCAACCTGTATATGTTCCTCACGTATTTATCTTCGAAGGGCAATTCGAGTTTCTCATTGACAGTTTTCAAAAAGGTTTTCTCCGTATCTGCTTCGGGACCATCTAAGCCATATATTATTAATTTATATTTCTTAGAATTTCTCTCGAGGGTATTCAGTTTTGATTTAAGTTTTTCATTCTCTTGAACAAGCACCTGATTTTTTGCTTTTATTCCATTGAGTTCTGATTTCAATTCGTGAATTTGACCTTTAATATCTTTCAAATCCTTTTGTATCGCGTCGTTTTGGGAAGAAAGTCGTTTCAACCATGTAATAATTTCTTCAGCAGAGCAAGTTTCCATTTTCACGTGAACAATCCTTCAAAATAGCAGGACAGCTAGTACATACCATACTTAGGACGTAGGCGAACTGGCGATTTCAATATTTCAGTGGCTGTTGTATTGATACAATATCAGCTACTCTGATCGATGATATACAGGGACTCTAGTTCACACCTACCAATGAGGCAAGAAAGTAATGTGCTACAATGCATGAGACAAGTTCACCAATCACCAGGTTAATATAATTGTTTGAAACCATATCAAATAAGTACCTACTTGAATATAAAGTGAACATTTTCGTCATTCAGATTCACGAAACCACAGAAAAAAGATCAAATTCTGTGTTCCTAACCTAACACGTTTGTAAACGTTGAACAGGAGTAGGTGATCCCAGTTTTTTGTCACGTGACCTCTCTGGATCGAGTTAATAACCCAGAGTAAGTTTCCGAAAACATCTACTAATACACGCCTATGCCAAGATCCAATGAGATTTCTTCAATTTCCGAAAATCGACCAATCACCATTTGTAGTGATAAAAAAGCTACCTAGCTTTCCCAATAATCGAAAATTTTTTTTTTTATTTTGAAAATAACATACATGTCAGCTTATTATAATAGTGATTATAGTTATTTATTGTACAAGGGAGAAAAGTATAAGATTTTAGCTCCAGGTTGTGTTGTCTCCCGACGTGTAGTGGAGGGATACAATAAACCGAGAGTTAAAATCTAATATTTTCCCGTGTATAATACACTATTTTTTTCTGTGACCAGAAAAACGATGAGTCACTATTGAGAAAATATTACATTATAATAAAATAAGAATATTATTGATGTGAAATTTCACGTTTTCATCTGGTAGCACACCTGTGTTTGACGTAATCAAATATGTGTCAATTTGATTCTGTGTTTTGATTTTAAAAAATTGCAGACAGTGGTTGTTTAGTAATTTACATAACTGGAATGAAAGATAAAAGGACTTTCAGTTCTTTCTTGGAGATGGTGTTATTGGCTTATTTTTCGGAACTGGCACAACAAAAGCTATCAACAGGGTGGGGAAAAAATTATCAATGAAAAGTGACCTGTAACCTGTCAACAGAGATAAAATGTCAAACTTCTTTCCCGTCACAGAAAAAACATTTTCCTTTTCATGAAAACATTATCAAAAAAGTTAAAAACCTGTGCATGATCATGTTACTTAAAATTAGTTTTCTCATTAAGAATAATTTATGTAATAAATACATATTGTACATAATATTATAAAAACGTAGGTAATATAATCTATATTCTTTTATATTCACTGCACTGTTTAATCACCAACCAAACACCAACCAGCTAGTGGTGAAACAGTGTAGTGGATTATCATGCTGGTCTTTGATATAGGATCAAATGTCACACTTTGTTTGACAAGTAATATTTTCGTTTTCAAGGTGTCAAACAGAGTCACTTTTGATAGGAATGATGAAACATGTTTTTTTTCTGCTTGTGAAAATACCACTATTTTGAGTGACTTGAGCATGTCAATGTCAAAGCAGCTATCATATCAGCTGTCATCCAACACGTTTTTAGTTCCTAGGAGTTAAACTTTAACTTTTGCTCCTAGACACAAAGTATTGTGTCAGTAAGAAAAACGTCAACTTCAAGAGCTAATTTTGGAACAAAATTGTAAGACTTTTGAGCTTATTTCAGAAAAAGTATATTATTTCATATTCAAATAACTTAATGATAAATATAATAATAATAATAGTGATAATAATAAGAAATTTTCCGAATTCTCAATCAACCAGCATTTGATTTATTTTTGTAATGGAAGAAAACTTTTTATTTTAAAGAGGCAATTGATTCTAATTTTTTTTACCCATATTGTTGCAATCAACACACTTTTACAACAACTGTCACTGTCACTACCATCAGATAATATTTGAGTTTTCTTAACAAATTGTCTTTGTACAGTAATTTTGTATAAATCTCCCTAAAATACATTCAAGAAATGTTTTTATTGATAAATACATTCCAAACTGTATTAATTTTTTTTCGTCATTTTCATACATTTATCAATGAAAACATTATCTCCTATGTATATACCCTAGAGAAAGATATTATGTTATCTTACCTCATTGTTTATGTCAAATACACCTTCCTGTATTTTTTCATAGATTTCCTTAGCAGTGTTTATGAAAGCTTCTTCCACATTGGCAGCAGTTTTTGCAGAAGTTTCCATAAATACCAAACCATGTTCCCTGGCAAAAGCTTCTCCTTCTTCTTTCTTCACTTCTCTCCTACTTTCTAGATCACTGCCACAAAAAAATATTTTCAAAATGTGATTGTAGTGGGGTGGAACTAGCATCTTGGACTGCCAGGCATTGTTAAAATCAAAAAATTCACAAGTATTCATTAGATTGAATTGGAAGTTATTTGATTATAAACGAGAAGAAGTTCATGCATTTTTCAATGATGATCAGTCAATACTGCAAAATCTTATACAGGGTGGCCCACATTTCATTGCTCCACTATTGCTATCTCTGAAATGGATGTTTAAATGGAACAAAAGTTGCACATTCTGGGGGGCATAAGGATTATGTGAAGAAATCATGGATATTATGAACTATACTGGAGATGATTGAGACAAAAAATAAATGGTCATTTTGGGGAAAAAACCACAGACATTTTTTTTCATTTCATATTTCATTAGATTAGGTAATATCAGACTTATGATCAAAGTTTTCTTCATCCAGGGCCACCCTCAACTTGTCAGAGATAGAAATAGTGGGACAACAAAATGTGGGATACCCTGTAATCTGTATACAGGGTTGGACATATGTGTGGAAACACCTAATTTCTGAATAAACCCATAGATCTAAATAAACCAGAAGTAATTCATTTCTTTCTAACAAGACTTTGATAATTTTTGTCTGTTCTACTCAGTGGCCAATGTTGATTAATGGTAGCTAAATGGATCATCATGTATGTAAATATTTTTTTCATCAGCTGATGTTCTCTCAACTTACATGTCTTTGACTGGTGAGTGGTGGTTGTAGAAATATAAGATTAAATGATAATTGATAAAAAATTTCTTATATTCAAGTTTTATTCCTTAGAGTGTCCAAAAACTAATACTCCTGCTTGCCAATAATATAACCTATCAAGGAACCCCCTAAAAGACAAACCTTCCTGAGAATTTTTTATCAAAACTGCTATTGAGGACTGTGGTGATTTGTTGATCAGTTAGGCTAATGTAAGATGTCAAGGAGCTGAAGGTCTACAGCTTGATCACCTTTCGTAGCTACCAAAAATCAACACTGGCCACTGAGTAGAACAGAAAAAAGATGTCTTGGAAAAAAAATTACCTACTTCTGGTTTGGTCAGAAATAAGGTGTAGGTCCTGTAGGTATTAATTTTGAAGACTTCTAATTCAGTATAGAATTCATTTTTCAGATTTTTGGGATTTTCTCTCCTTGTCTCCAAAAAATAAAAATATGAATACTATTTCAATATAGGTAGTTAGGACAAATTAGATGATTTGCCCCAAAATGTCACTGTGTTTAAAGAATGTTCCTATCAGAGAGCCTAAAAGAAAAATTCACTAGCTTGTCAGTAACAATTTGTATTGAAGAAGGTTTGGAGAAGAGAAATAAAGGTATAGAAAATATATCAAATTTTTACTTGATAGATAATTTTCACTTATAGATAAGTACTATATACCTTTATTTCTCTTCTCCAAACCTTTTTCAATACAAATTGTCACTGACAAGCTAGTGAATTTTCTTTTAGGCTCAAATAGGAAAATTCTTTGAATGCAGTGACATTTTGGGGCAAATCATCTGATTTGTCCTAACTACAGGTATATTGAAATAGTATTCATATTTTTATTTTTTAGAGACAAGGAGAAAATCCCAAAAATTCTGAAAAATGAATGTACAGACAGTATCTTGAGGTATTCAGTATAGGATGCCAAGTAAGACATAATGATATGTGGAGAATACTATGTATTCTATATAATGAAATCGATGAAATCAGAAGATTAGTCATCATACATGATGAGACATTATTAAATTCATCAAACAATATCATCAATTACAAACCTTTTATTCCCAATCAGCATGATGACCATATTTGAATTGGAATGTTGCCTGGCATCATCCAACCATGTAGTCAGATGGTTGAAAGTCTCCCTTCTGGTAATGTCATATACTAACAGGGCCCCAGCAGCACCCCTGTAATATGAGCGAGTGATAGACCTGAAGGCTTCTTGGCCAGCTGTGTCCCAGATCTGGAGCTTGATTTGCTTACTATCAATGGTTATCATTCTAGCACCAAATTCTACACCTATTGTCAAGTCATGAACAGGCTGGAATCTTTTGTCAGTGAATTGAAGCAACAAACATGATTTACCCACACCTGTAAATAATGTTTTAATTTCAGCTGACTACATCTTCATTATTATTATGTTGATATGAAAATGGTCCACATTCTTTGTTGAAATACTGAAGATCATCAAAGAGATAATGTGAAAATGTATATTTCAATGTTATCTTACCTGTATCCCCTATGATAATATACTTGAATAAATAGGCGTAAGACATGTCTACTATAATTGATAATAATTAAAAAATAAAATTATCAGCAATCCCAAAAATCCCAAAATATTTTCACAAAAATACTCAAACTTGTGACAGCAGGACAGCTGTCTAGTGGTCTGCAAGTCAACAAGGTTGTTTGTTGAGCACGAATCCGTTTTGCCCAAGTATATGTATAGGGTGGTTTAGGAGACCAATCAGAGCGATTGTGGCAATGGCGGTAAATTAAAATCACTGATATTGACTGTAAATTCAAGTGTAAATAATAGCCAATACTCTTCTGAAAAATCCCGGCCGTGGGCGAAGTGATCCTGAATAACAAAATATCATTGAAATAGCGAATAAGCGAATCACTATCGGCCCCAACAGTAGTACTTTTTTCAGGGAGGAAGGAAAATAAGGGATATTTTGCATAAGGATCGCCGGCGTGGAATTCGAAAGCTTAACAACTGATCCACGGAGGTACATGAAAATTGTACTTTGAAGAAAGAACTAATATAATTAATTGATCTCCATCATACAGGTCGTGGAAAGAAATTCCGAATTGAGGAATCCCAATCCCTATTCTGAAAATATTCCTTTACAAGAAAGAGAAAGAATTTAGTCAACACTAAGTCCAACACTAAAAGTCAACACAAACACAAGCAGTTGCCAGTTGCCGCACATGGAGTATTTGTTGCACCGTGTCTATAGGCGTTTGTCAACACGCAGGCGCTTTTTTCGGATTGTTCTGATTGGTCTATATTAATTGCCTATGCATATGTTTGGGCTAAGTTTGGGCAAAACGGATTGGTGTATTTGTTGATGTTGAGATCTGCGCATAATTTGCGCATATCTAATGCGCAGAAACGTAATAAACAATTTCAAAAAAATCAATAGTTTATTTCCTTGGTTTATGGTTTATTTACTTGGATTTTATCGCAGCTGATATATCAATGATATCATTGATAAATACGGTAAGCCAGCCACAGCCCAGGCTGGGTAATTTCTGAAGCACAGAGATAGAGCAAAGAGGAGAGGGGGACTAACCCAACTACTCAAGAAAGATCTCAGCAAGGATATCTCAGCTCAGGCAAATCTCAGGCATGAGCCACTGGCACCTTGGGGCCACTAGACGTTCCTGCCACGAGTGCTTCAGTCCACAGATGTCACGGTACTGAAAAACACTAAAAAAAGAAGATCGCAAAGATCTTAACATTCTTAACCTCTTTACAGGTCAACATCAACAAAAATTTTAAATTCTAAAAACGAAATTGGTACAATTTTTCGATTTGTAAAAAATCGACTGATCAACATTCAGACAAATTCGAATAGGAGAAACATGTCTTGCGAACTTATAGAAATCGATGGATCGTTGATGGAAGGTGTAAGAGTTGATTTATGATTAATTTTGATTGTTTTTCTTCAAATAAATTGTTCTTATAGGGTGGACAAATCCTCAGAATATCTTTAACTCTAAGTGCTTTGAGACGTATTCCGGTTAGGATAATAAATATTAGAGGTGGGAGAAGTAAACCTGGTCTAATGGAACAGCATTTTAAAGGTATACCTATCTAATATCATCACAATTTGAGTTGAGACTATTGAGAGTTTCATTGACATTTCATTTCTACCACTAGTTTTCTCCTCAAACTGTAGGTATTTTGCTTCTGAAGGAAATCTGCTCAGCAAATGTTAAAGGTGCAGCTTTAGGATCAACCCAGGTGGAGTTTTGGCCAGGTGAGATAGAAGGTGGATCATTTCGTGCTCAGGTCAAAACAGCTGGCAGCATAAGCCTACTTTTACAAGTAGCATTACCTTGTACACTATTTGCAAAAACCCCAACAACTCTCACACTTCAAGGAGGTACTAATGCAGAAATGGCACCCCAGATAGATTACACCACTGAAGTATTCAGACCCATCCTGGAAAAATTTGGAGCTACTTTTGATTTTGACTTGGTTAGAAGAGGGTATTTTCCTAAAGGTAATGGTGAGGTTATTGTTAATGTGAAACCTATACAGAAATTAAATCCTATTGAACTTATGGAAAGAGGACATGTGACTTCAATTTATGGTTGGAGTTTTGTTGCTGGTACTTTCCCAGAAAGGTTATCTCACCAGATGGCAGATAGTGCTACAAAGGTATTGAAAAGTTACAGCAGAGTAAATATTGAGAGATATAAAGAAGATAGGAATGTAGCTCCTGACAACTGCTCAGGCATCTTGTAAGTCTGATGGAATCTGATGGAACAGAGCTTGAAAATGATGTAAAGTTTACTAAAGAACCTAATGTGATTGAACTAGATGTTATCATTGAATGAATTTAATTCCAGATTAATAGCAGAAACAGATACCAAATGTATATTAGGTTCTTCAGCTCTTGGTAAAAGAAATGAATCTGCAGAAGAAACAGGAAAGAGAGCAGGAGAAGACTTGAAAGATGTTCTGGATGAAGGTTCATGTTTTGATAAACACAGCCAAGATCAAATAATTATTCTCATGGCTTTAGCAAAAGGACAGTCTAGAGTAAGAGTTGGAGATATTACAATGCATACAAAAACTGCCATATTTGTGGTAGAAAAAATGACCAAGGTTAGTAATTACAAATAGGCAATTTATTTTCCAAAAGGCACAGCATGGAGTTGTGTTGTACCTGACTATCCTACTTATTTTTGCCTGCCTGCATCTATATCTGCCTTCAAGAACCTTGAATAATAATTTACACTTAGGTACTCAATCACAGTGATTTGAATTAATGAATTTACTATTTCATTTTGTACTCAACACTTGAAAATTTCCATTACAATCATTAAACCATAGATTCTCTGAAAATCTGTCCATCATTTAACCTGATAAGAAACTACTTAATGAATAATTTTTTGTTTCAGGTGAAATTTGAAATAATTCCATCTGGATCAACCAACATAATTCAGTGTTCTGGTGCAGAATAATATTGTCTATTAACTTTACTTATTATATATTTATATAGACTTACTTATAAAATTAAGAAAATAAAGACCTACTGAAGGTTAATTTTTGGTATACATTGTTCTAGTTTCATAAAAATGGTTTCTGAATAATTAAAAACCCCAATGAGGATGTTTCCAATATTGAGGTTTTGTGATCTTTTACAGGTATTCTTTCTTCTTTTTCATGAAATCAACTTTCAGTTCAGAAGAAAAATGAATCAAAAAGAAACTTGACTCCTTCACCATTCCTATGAAATACCTATATACAGCAGGGTGATCAGAATTCTGATCCTTGAACCAAACTGTATTTATTCCAATTAAATGTCAGTAGATAGTAAATCAAAAGTTGAGATAGGGACATGTGAGCCATTTTAACCAATAATGAATAGTTTGAACAGGAAAAAATCCTAAAGTTGAATAATCTCGATTCTGAACACCCTATATCTCTGTAATCATTCCCGCTAGACCCCAAGTGTGATTCTTTTCAGGGATAATCTGAAAATTCATTAAAATACAGGGTGTTCTATTTGAAATAAGGACTTTTTTAATATTTCCGGAATAACTGAAAAAGTGGCAACATTGGCAATAACATTTTCCAATCCGACTCATTTTGAATTAACCCTGTACATAAATTCAAAAAAATCTAATTTTTTCTGTGACGGGAAAAAAGTTTGGCATTTCATCTCTGTTGGCAGGTTATAAAATGTCACTTTTCATAAATTACTTTTTTCCCGTGGGAAAAAAGTGAGTACTTCTTTCCCGGATATATATCACATATATATACTCTGTTAATGGCTTTTGTTGTGCTATAGTTCCGAAAAATAAGTCAATAATAGCGTCTCCGAGAAAGAACTGCAAGTCTTTTTATCTTCCATTCGACTTCGCGGTTTCGTATATTACTAAACAACTACTGAATTCGCAATTTTTTAAAATCAAATCACAGAATTGAACTGACAGAAGTGACATCAGATATTTGATTACTTCAAAAGAATGATGAAGATGTCTATAAAACGCAGGTGTCCCTGTTAAAAACTTGAAATTTCACGTCGATAATTTTCAGATTTCGAAATAATGTAATATCTTCCCAATATTGATTCGTCCTTCCTTCTGTCACAGAAAAAAATAGTGTATTATACACGGGAAAAATATTAGATTTTAGCTCACGGTTTTTTGTCTCCCTCCGCTACGCGTCGGGAGACAACACAACCTGGAGCTAAAATCTACTACTTTTTTCCCTTGTATAATAAATAACTATAACTGTTACCGACATATTTGCTTGGTTCCATACTTCATCCCAACCCTGTAGATATAGTACCTAGAAAAGTCACATTCACACAGATGGACTATGATATGTACGACGTTGCCAGCATCATCAGTATGTCTAGAATTCCGGGAATTGTATTATAACAATATCATAACAGCAGTAATGGGATTTTTTTAATCCTACTTCGCTGAGTATTAATGAATAATTTTCATAAATCTCTTATTTGCTGGCTGAAGTTGATTACTAATAAAGGTTCCTTATGATATTTTGCAATGTATAGTATCTATAATTTTCCACTTTCGTTATATTACAAAATGATAATCATAACTTGTCAGTCATTATTTTACACGTCCACACCATACAATAATACACATTATACACCTAGGGAATAAAGTTCATAGACCGACCAACGGGAGGGTAATGATTTGTCGAGGGATTTAAAAACACTTCAGTCCTGAGGTGTATAGTGAAATAATATACGATTTTATGCACTTAAGGATAGGCAAAACGGTTGAAATAACGAAAAAAATTAAATGCCTTAAATGTTATGTACTCAATTTCTAAAACGTCATCGAAGGGGCTGTTACCATATCAAGTACCTTAGTAACTATGGAGATCCAGATTTCGGGAAAAAAGTGGTACTTTAAATTCCTAGGGATTTAATATAACTTTTAATGCCTAAGGAGTTGAAGAACCACTTTTTTCCCCGAATATAGGGAATAAAGGTACCTGTTAAATCCCTGATAGTGCATAAAATTCTAAATAACAGGCACACCGATAGCTGATCTGATAATGTGGTCATGTATGTTTTTGTTTACTAGTTTGACTTGTGTCGATTTTTGATCTCCATAGTTATTCGTTAGTCTATGTTTACAGTTTATAGTTGTTAGATGACCATCGCTAATTTTCAAGATATAAACATCAACGACGCCAAGTTTTCTTCTTCTATTTTTTCATTAGTTTTTATTTCGCAGCTATTCGCTAGCTATATTCTTCGTCATCAGCTATTTTCAGACTAGATTCAGGATGTATACGTAACAGTTTGCCGCCCCGAAAATTGAAAATTGCTTTATTTGAAAATAAAATCGACTTGGACTTTATCCATCGCCATTGTATACAGCGTGGACATGAAGAAAATTAAGAAATTTCATGAAGTTACACCAAAATGATAATCATGTTTTTTTTTCTATATCAACAGATAACACACATCTTATTTTCTATTAGGTGTATTATTATGGCATTGAGAAATATTTTGATTCTACTAATAAATATCTCATGAAAACAATTCAACTTCATTCTGATTGCCCATATTGATGTGACAGACTAAAACAAAAATAACACCCTGTATCATACTCCTCAAATTATGATTGCTTTTATGTTGCCTCAAAACAGTCTTCCAATATTTCTCTGTCCGATAGTACATACATTCAATAACAAAAGTACTCTTTCCTGACTTAGGTATTCCAGAAAATGGCAAATATACCTTTGTAAAATTTGTATACAGGGTGATCCACGGTGGATGGTCTATTAGAAGTATCTGGAGAACGAAAAGACAGAACATTCCGAAAATTAGGATGCTTCGATAATTGAACATTAATTCTCTATCCGTCTAGAATATTTTCATCGATACAGTGTTGCCACTTCTATCAGAAACAACTAGCAACTTCGTTAATTTAAATGGAGCACGAGCACCCTGTATTTTATTGCATTTTTAGATTCTCCCTGAAGAGCTGATTTCATCAATGCATCACACTTGGGGGTCTAGCAGGAATGATTACAGAAATATATAGGGTGTTCAAAATCAAGATTTTTCAATTTTAGAATTTTTTGTGTAGAAATTATTCAGTATTGGTCATAACGGCTTACATGTCTATCTTAACTCTATCTTAACACTATTCCGGACATCGAGAAATCTAAAAAATCAAATATCATAAAAGTCGGTCTATACGTTCTTAAGTTATAAATGGTGTAAACAACACGCGACTTTCCTTCATTTAGATAGATATATATATATAGCTATACAGAAAATATCCGGTCAAGAGCTAAAATCATTGAAATAGCGAATCACTATCAGCCCCAACAGTGAATACCTCTATTTTCAAATAATCACTTTGATAAAAGAAACAAATAGGAGGAGTACGACGGAATTTGAACCCACGATCTTTGGCTCATCAAGCACGTGCCTTACTCCATTGGCCATTATGTGTCCTGCGAAATTATGAACAGGGTGATTCACCATAAATGTCGTCCAGTCCTCCCCTCAAGCTCGGTTATTTTTGAACCGATCCAAAAATGGGCTTATATCGCAAAAAAAAATTATTTCATAATTCGATAGAACTCACCCAAAGTAGCTCACCACCGCAAACCGTTTCTTGCTGTGAGCTCCCTACGTTTTATAAAAAATTATTGAAATCCCCGATTTTTCGGACCTCTGAAAACGAGGCGATGATGTGACGTCAGAACCCTAATACTGAAACAAGACTATTCCAGACAGAGATGAATGATACATGATTTCTGACAAAGTGACTTAGTGCGAGATCACAGTTGAAAGAATTAATATATCAGTTACCTCAGTCTCCGTCGGGCGTTTGGTATTATCTTTCAACTATGGCGAGATGAGGTTTCTACGTCATAAGAGGGTCCGTTTTCAGAAGGCACTATTATTTATGTCCAAAAATAAAACATTCCAGTTAATTTTTCGATCGAATTATGTCGTCAATCATTATTTATGTATAAAAGAATCATTATAAACATGGTTTGAGTTAAAAGTTCTACTAAGGTGTACACGCCCATTATATAAATCATTTGAAATGAATTTTTATATTTTTTCCCGCTACATCAGAAAATACAGGGTGCTCGAAACAAACGATCTACAGTGTACAAGTTAATTTTTTCAAATGGAACACCCCGTATTTCAGGGTCCTGCATCTCACCTCCCGTCTTCTATATAGCTCAGTTGTAAGTTGAATCAGGATTTTGATATTTTGCAGACTTCAATTGTATAATAGGTCGCATACCAGGTAAGGAAAATAATTTCGATTATACAGTGTGTCCCAAATAAGTTTGACGTCATAATGATATATTTTTCTACATATTACCTACATACTCCTGGAATTTAATTGAAACCGGTTCAGTGATATTGACGTGAAAAAAATATAACGAAAAAATCTATTTTGCACCACTGGTCAAAAACATTAATAACAAAAAAGAGAGTGCCTGCTCAATAGAATCATAAGAGATACATATCAAATGAGGCCTAAGAGGATCGCTAACCGAGTTTGATTGACACGAATCATCACAGGGTGTGCAAAATTTAGTGACAAACTTTTCAAATTTCGAAGCACTATATTTTTCTTATTTCGAATTGGAGCACAACTTCCTAAACATAGAGAGTCGCGTTGCCAGTCTAATGATTCGGTTCCACTATGAATTGATGTTTGTTCCCAGAACTTCATCAAATCAAGAAAATTTTAAAGTGTGATCTATCTTTCAACAAAGAAAACTTCAACCTTATGTAAATTCCAACTCTTAAGGCTAGTGTTATATTAACCAATCATAATGAAGATCAACGCTTCCCTATGGTTTCCAACGTTATATTTTTAATTGGAATCACTGACAAAACTACTATAGTATCAGTTTGTGTCAGTGTTTGGAATGGATTTATTCTGTGAATAAGAGTGATGCTAATTCGTCTTAGCCCCTGATTGTTCTGATTGGTCTATATATGAAACGCCTCTACTGGATGTATGTAGGTACAAGGAGAACGAAATCTTGCCAATGCTGAAGGCATAGATCATAAATAAGGTAGAATAATAATTTACAAATGAATTTCAATATTATAAGATGAGATTAGTACACATCCCAGCCATAGTTGTATTGTATACATATTACAAAAATATAGGATAAATTCTATAGGATCACTAAATAATTCATTTGGAATGAAGACTTCTACAAAATTATTCAAAATACGAAAATATCAAAATCTGGTGGAATATTGCCTTATTCTACAGTGCCCATTAATTCACATTTGAAACTGTTTGAATAACATCTTCCCAATGCCAAACGCTTCCAAGAAGTTATACCAATGAAAAATCTCAGTAAACTGTTGTGATAATTCACATTTCTGTAGCAAAGGAACTTAGGTGACCAAATGCCTTGTGAACCTAAGTTCTTGCCTCAAAACCCCATCAAATATTGCCTCAGGTTCAACTATTGTGAGGTTGGGGTTCTGCTTCTTGAGTTTTGAGTATTTTGCTTTGTTTTCAGGTGATGCTACAACAACGAAATGTCCTTCGACATTTTTCCCAGGATTTCTAGTTGAACATTTTCCACCACTGGCTTCAATGGCACCTAAAAAAGAGGAATTTTCATTATTGACTCCATGGTTCCAGAATTGGATATTTCATGTAATGAGTACCTTTCAAAACATCAGCAGCTTTACTGACCATCAGTTGAAAAGTATAGTTTGTTAATAGTTTTTTACATTTTGCTCGGTTGAGAGATTCTTCAAGTGAAAAGTCCCATTTTGATTCGGCTTCCTTATCTGTGAGTATAAAATCCCAGGGATCTGAAATAAAGTGAATTCAATGTGACAGATACAGGGTGTTGAATTTCAAAAACAAACATCGTTATTTTGTAATAGAAAGAAGACTTTCCCCATTCAAATTCGGCCCACCATTTTCTTTTCAGAACATTCTTTTCTCTCAACAAAAAATCACTTCAAACCAGTGGCGCATCCAAGGTACTTACTGCATGATTATTGGAGGTAATAAGAAATACCACAAATGCTGACTCTCAATATTTAGACAAAGCTTACAAGGGGAAATAATTACTTCTTGGATCCGACACTGAGTGGGAGTGAGGATAATCAATGAAAACAGTAAAATACGAGTATACATCCAATATACATAATATGAAATAACAAAAATGATGACTATTAATATTTCGAAGAGGTTGGGATGATCCGCCAGAGCTTCAAACATTTTATACAGAGTTGCACTATTCGTGACCAATAAAAACAGTTGGAAAGAATCAAATCATTACAACTCAAACTAATTTCTATCGATGGACATTAGTCAATGTCCTATTTCTGATTTAACCAGGGTGGATTGGATTTTGACCCTTTGGATAAAATGCACGATCCTGTGAAATGTATTTACTGCCATTCATGAAAACGACAAAAACGAAAAAACAAAAACTGCCAAGATTGTAGATTATATCAATCAATCAATCAATCAATCGACTTTATTATTCCCAAGAAACAACATTTGTTTATAGCAGGGAACATAGTGAATACATAAATATATTTGACAAAATAAAATAAAGAAGACAGTAAAATAAGACTCACACTAAAAAAGAATCTTTTTTTTTTCAAGTTCAAATGAAAATGATCCTCAATTGACTCAGCTGTTAGGTACACAATTGAAAACTATAGTAGTTGTACTAGAAAACTATAAAAATGAGATAAGATGTCAATATTACAGGAGTAGATGTTTCTTGAATTATCTTTTAAATTTTTCAATCCTATTAATCAGCTTCAAGTTATTTGGTAGTGAATTGTATTGTATCAATCCATTGTGATAGATGGATTTTTTACCAACATCTGATTTAATTTTCTTGACAGAAAAATGATCTGCTTGTCTGAAATATAAATTACAAACGACGGAAAACAAAACGTTTCGCAAATTAAGTTAAGATGGCGGATGTCGACGGGTCGTCTTCAAACGCTGAGCTTAAATTTGAATGCAAACATTGTAGAAAAACAGTAGTCCACGCGGTTAAGTGCAAAAAGTGCAATCATAACTTCCATCCTCGATGCATGGTCCAAGCTGCGCAGGCAAAAAGTGCATCCTGCCGACATGAAGAACAGCAAGACGTGAATGAAGCACCAGGAAGTGAACATGAAGCTGATGAAGAAAACAGGAAAAGTGAAAACAACGAACAAATGAAATGGTATGTGGCAGAAAACAAACTTCTTCGCCAATTAGTCAAAGAGCTTGAATCAAAGTGCGAAATTCTAAACGAAAACTGCAATCTGTTAAAGGAAAAGATATTATTCATCTCTGAAAAACAAAACAGTCTCACAAAAAACGTAGCAGACAACAAAAACCCAAATACTGATAAAGGTCGATCACCTTCAATAATATCCAAACAATTATCGCCAGTAATCAGCTGTGCACATCGCGCAAAGCCTACCTTCAGCGACGTTGCCAAATCCACGCACTTTGAACCAAAACTGCAACAAAATTCACAACAGTTTTCTAATGTCATGGAAAGACAGAAGAACTTCACAACCAAAGAAGTCAGTGCCGCGATCTTAGATGCACAATCATCCAACAAACTGAAGGAGCTACAAGACTTAGGTAATGAGGATGAAGGCAACTGGGATACAGTAAAATCAAGAAAATTGGCGAAGAAAAACCGGCGATTTGTGATAGGTCGTAACGATAACGACACTGGCATCAGTACGATCGCCAAATACATATCCCTCCACGTCACGAGACTCCACCCCACAACAAAGCCTGATGATCTGAAGAAAACACTGATCAAAGATTTTCCTGAAGTCTCCTGTGAAAATCACACATCCAAATTTCCCGATCTTTATGCATCGATGAAGGTGACAATCAAACAAGAAAACTTCAAAAATGCTTGGAAACGTGAAATATGGCCAAGCGGAGCCTTAGTATCCCGTTTTTTAACGAAAAAGAGGACGATGCCACGCACACAAGAAGAGGCAGGTCCACATTCTGTCCAAAATCAAAACAACAGCAAACAACTCTAGAAAACCTCAAGATATTTCATGTAAACATTCAGTGCCTTGCTAATAAGGTAAACGAATTATGTGCTTTTACTGATGATTCTGATTTTGATATTATTTGTCTGTCCGAGCACTGGCAAACATCAAATAACCTGTCCACCATTAACATAAGAAACTTCTATCTTGCCTCACAATTTTGTAGAAAACAACATCAACATGGTGGTGTTGCAATATACTGTAGAAACAACCTGAACACAAAAAATTTGAATTTAAGTAAATTCAGCGAAGAACTACAATCCGAGTTTTGCGGCATTCTCCTGCAATCTTCAGATATCCTGATAATAACAATCTACAGATCATGTACAGGAGATGTTAACGTATTCATTAAAAACCTTGAAAATCTAATATCCAACTATCTCAAACTGAATAAAAAAATTGTTCTGGTTGGGGACTTCAACATAAATTTCATTTCAAACTCATTACCCCTCTTCAATCTAAAGTGTATGCTACAATCTTTCGGATTGGAAATAATGATATCAGATTATACGAGAGTCTCTGCATCTTCCGCAACATGCATTGACAATATTATTTCAAACTTGAATCTACAAACTTCTGATGTTGGTATCCTAGATCCATGCTTATCCGACCATAAAGGCCAATTTCTATGCTTATCTACAAATAAACCCATAAATCAGGAAACTGATGACATATCTAGAATTTGCTATACAAAAAAAGGATTTGAGAAATTCAAAACATCACTCCTTCATGTCGATTGGGGCATCTTTGCTTCGCCTGATCAGAATATCAACAACTTATGCGATCATTTTATCAGTACTCTCCAACAAATACTAAGACATTCTTTCCCAGTGAAGAAAAAAATAAAAGGCGACCATAAAATCAAAATAACCTGGTACAATGATGAACTCAAAACAATGAGAAGTAACTTGGAAGCTGTCAAAGTTATATCAGAAGTGTCCAGATGTAAACAAGATACTGAAATCTATAAACAAATGAAAAAAACTTATCGTCATTCACTGTCGGAACATAAAAAACGATCCTATGATGAATATATAATGAACTCCGCAAATAAGTCGAAAGCTTGCTGGAATATAATCAACTCAGAAAGAAATTCAATGAATAAATATAAGAGCAAGATCTCAAATGAAATTTCGGAAAAGGAATTTAATGACTATTTTTGTACCATAGCTGAAGAAACCATAAAATCTCTTCCTCAATTAGATGCTGAAGGAGAAAGCAATTTCAAAAAATTCCCTTCCCCTGCCGAGACCTTCTTTCTTGAACCAGTTTGTCAATACGAAGTCCACAGTGCTATAAAAAAATTGAGACATTCTAGTTCTCGAGATATTCATGACATGAACAGCTACTTGATAAAAGAAATAGCAGAACAAATCGTCACACCACTGACTAATTTGATAAATGAGGTTTTCAGCAAAGGAATTTTCCCAAATACTCTTAAAATCTCCAGAGTTATACCCATCTTCAAAAAGGGCGACAAATCATCCCTAGACAACTACCGCCCCATCAGCATAATTTCTATCATAGGAAAAATTATTGAAATAATTCTGAAAGAACGTCTTTATTCTTACTTTGAAAATAGTTTTTTTTTCAGTAAATCACAATATGGTTTTCGTAAGAACAAATCCACCACTCAGGCAGTTTTCAACATAGTGGCCGACATAGTTGAGGGCCTTGAACAGGGCAGACATACTTCCTTAACACTATGCGACCTGACCAAGGCTTTTGACTGTGTATCACATACTATACTCATTGACAAATTGGCTCATTACGGATTGAGAGGTACCATTTTAGAACTCATCAGTTCCTATCTGAACAATAGGTATCAGTATGTTGATTTAAACAACAAGAAATCAGATCTCAAACATATCGAACATGGCGTACCTCAAGGATCCGTCCTTGGGCCGTTTCTGTTCCTAGTATACATAAACGACTTATGTCAGTCTATCGAACCTATAAAATGCGTTTTATTTGCTGATGACACCACCCTCATAAGCTCGGGTAAGCTGCATGACGCACTACCAGTAGCTGCTGAACTCGAAAAGAACGTTGCAAAAAATTGGTTTACGCGAAATAAACTCAAACTAAACGAGAACAAAACTCAAAACTTGATCGTCTCCTCAAATCCTCTGTATCAAAAAGGGCATAATATTACACTACTGGGTTTAAAAATTGATGATAGATTAAATTGGTCCAGTCATGTAGATCAGGTGCTTAGTAAGTTATCTAGTGTTTTATTCATATTGAGGCAACTTAAGCCTGTTACTAATATTGGTGTACTGAAAATAACGTACTTTTCTCTATTTCACTCTGTCTTATCCTATGGCATTCTTCTTTGGGGCAACTCTTGTAATGCGAATAGGGTATTCAGGTCACAGAAAAGGGCTATAAGAATTCTAGCAAATCTTGAGTATAGAGATCATTGTGAACAATCCTTCATCAAATTAGGTATTATGCCACTCCCTACCCTGTATATATTCACAGTTCCACTGGAAATACATAATAACAAGAACAAATTCATAAAGCACTCGGATATACATAATTACAACACCAGATCCGCAGACTTGTTGAATCCTCAAAGACATAGACTAGTTGTAAGCCAACAGAATTCTTTGAATTTCAATCTATACAATGTTCTTCATGAATCTGTTAAACTACTGGAACCAAAAAAATTCAAAACAACAATCAAAAGATTTCTTCTCGATAATTGTTTCTACAGTATATCCGAATACCTCCAAAAATCGAAATCTCTTAGAGCTTAGACTTACATAGGGCAACATAGCTTTTATGTTTGCCATTGTTTTTATAACTTTTTAATTGATCTTATTATTTATCTATTCATTTATGTGATTGTTTCAAATTATTTTATTGATACTTGTCATTTTTTATCATATCATATACGCTTGTCATGTAATTCTTTGATATATATTACAGATACTAATTATTTTTATCACATTTTCAAAATTACCACTATATTGTATTTTAATATGTTAGTATTGATACTTTACTGTGCTACTTTTCCCTTGCCCTGCTGACCTGCTATAAACATACTTGTATGTAACATAGTTAAATAAACTCTATCTATCTATCTATGATGAAATAAAATTGAAAGGAAGGACCTCTGAATGCGCTTTTTTTCATTAAATCGAATTCGTATCTCCTACCGTTTCCGAAATTATCATGCTGTGCAACCTTATCATGGTCACACTGTATACTCCACTAAGTGGATTCATAATCTGTTTGGATTTATTATTAAATAAAAATATAATGAATAAATAAATTTCTTCCATTCTATCTGGGGACCTGGACAAAATCACGAAAAGAAAATGCCGACCCTGAGTTTTCATCGATTCCACCAACGAAAAACATCGAGGATCATTATTTATGTTGTATTTGAGTTTTGACTTACCCAAAAATTCATTGGATTTTTTGGAAGCTTGAATCCAACGAGGAGAACATATTGGCTTGCCTTGTGCCACAGCAGCTAGAAGCTTCTGCGACCGTTTAACTTCTCCTGTAACCAGGACAGTGGCGGCATCTACGTCGTCCACCACACTTCCACCTTGAAATATAAAAATAATTGTCATCAAGAACATTTTGGGATAGATCGAATTTAGTAATTACCTAGATGCTTTATGTATAACTCTAGTTGAGGATTATCCAACATGGTGAAAACCACTTTTGGCCTCTGCTTCCTTTTTGATCTCTGAAACGGAATTCGAAAAACTAAAAAAAAAACAACTGCCACATCATTCAGAGTGTTCCAAAGTAAGAGACTAATTTTCGAATTCTGATTGTTTTATCGTCATTTTGACACACTGTGTGGATGAAAAGTATAAAATGAAGTCATCTGCCAAAGCAAAGTTACTTGGGACCATATCAAAAATATGCATTTTGCATATATAATAATAACCTTTATTATTCCCAAGAAACATACCGGGAAAATTATGAAAGCTCAACTAAAGAAAAAAATTAGATAATCAGATAATCATTTTTAAATCATATACATAGTACATATAATACATATAATGATGTTTCTTCTTCTAGAGATTGTTGAATATAAGTATTTTTCAAGTTCTTTTGGAACAGACTATAAATGAAAAAACACTAAACAGCTTCTCATAACTAGAGTCACTGGATGATATTAGTTATATAAGAGTTCGGACACAGAAATTACAGCTGTTAGTATTATTTAATTTTTAGATTTATTAAGTTACATACCTTGCATTGTGACAAGAGCACCATCTTCGTCCCGCGCTTTTTCAAAATTGTTTGAATTTAACAATACATTTTATGAACGCCAGAATTGAAATATAATTAAGGAAGAAAGCATAACTAGAAATGTCCTGCTGTTCAAAAAATTGTGGAAATTCTGAAGAGAAGGAATTTCATTTATTCAATTTTCCAAAAGAAATATCAACCATTCTCTTATGAAAGGAATGTGTATGAAACGCCCTGGATGGAGAATTAATTTGAAGACAAGCAAAATTTGTTAGGTAGGTACATTAAAATTCACTTCTTATAACAGCTGACTGACAATCAGGCGCTATTAGGGAAATTGAAAAGACAAAGAGCAGAATGTAGGTCTTATTCTCTTATTCACCCAAACGATTGTAACATAAAATAGTAGGATAAAAGAAGTATAGAAGTTCAGCTGTGTCCAAACTCTTATCTAACTAATACCATCCAGTGACTCTACTCATAACAGGGGTCATAATAGAATTATGGCCAGAAAACTCAATGATCTTCCATTTCTTCTATTTAGTCGATTCTCAGACTGTGTCAGAAATTTTTTGAAAAAAAAAAAAAAAAACGAGCGGACATGATACGAGTTGGTCATAAAATTTTTCCATCAACTATATTTCTCCTGTAATGAAGAAAACTTTCGTTCCGAATTCATCATTCATCCAGAAACTACTATCAATCACCCAGTAGCCCTGAAAGTCAGCTTGTCACTGACATTAGTGAAATTTGACATTTGTCGAAATAATCAAGATGGAAATTAAATTTCTTCTGTTGAAAAACAGGGATGAAAATCAGTTTAAAAAAGTAAACAAAATAATTGTATGAAATATCACCTATCCTAAATTCCAAAAAACAATATTGCTTTGTTGGTGCGTTTAAATCTCTGGATCAATTATCACCATAATAATATACCAGTTGGTTGTGAAATTTTTCCATTGACTATATCATTTTTATAGTATTTCCCCAACAAAAAAAAATGCAATTTTTTATATATTATTATCAACTGGAATTTTTCTAGGATTGCCATAGAACTAAAGAATCTAATTACATCAGGATATGCCATTTACCAAACAAATTGAAATAGTTTTCCAGGCAATAATAATAAACAATTTTTCAAATATTTCTACACCATACACCTACTTTATGTATAACAAGAAAGAGCAAGACCTATTTTATTTATAGATTTTTTTTTCTATTCTAGTGGATCAACTAAAGGTGGATTTATGAACTCCGCTCTTTCAATAATCTGTAGTTTCAAAATCATCAACGATTTCACTAATGAGTTGAAACTTGGTATTCTCCTTCAATCATTTATGCACCCAAATTAATTTTTATATCTAACTATTAGCTAAAAGATGACCAACTTTTATATCTTGATGACAAATACAAGTAAAAGTGTGACTTGCGCAGGCGTGATTCTGTCAGAAGTCAGAGAAACAATGTCTTCTTTTTATTTTTACAAAATGTGGTTGAAAATTCAGAATATTCTAGTTGCCTGTTCCAATTAGACCCGAAAAAACAATATGAATAAATTACTCTTATTTTAACAATGCATGTGAGCAAGTGGAAGTTAGAACACAAATATTTTCATTCTGATCATGAGGAAGAATTCAAAGTTAAAAAAGGTAGTGCATGAAGGACCTTACATAACAATAATTTCAATGACAGCCACAGATTAATGAAAAAGTGGTGTACATAAATCCACCTTTACACCCTGCATAGGAAAAACAGTAGTTATATAACTTTCACACCCTTATAGCCAAAAATAATTTTTGAGAACGTACCTCTGCAGAGTTGAGAAGACTTTCATCAGTTGGTCTATTGTTTCTCTTGGGCGTAGATGTCACATCAGACTCAGCTTTCAATCTAGAACCAGTCCTCTTTCTCGATGGAGTCGATGGTTCATCAGAAGATGTTGACGGTTCTTCGTGAATCGTTCCAATGCAATTATCACTCCCAATTTTTTTCATGCTTCGAGAATTCTTTTTTGATGCTGATTCAGTAATTGGTTCGTTCTTCACGCTATTCCTTCTTGTAACTTTAGCTGGAACTGGTTTGGAAGATTCCAACTCATTTGTCTGCAATTTCCGCTTCCCTCTACTGCTGTTTGATGATACATTATTATTGTTAGTCACCCTTCCAGACTTCCTAGTGAGCCTTGATTCATCCAAAGCCTCTTTCATCGAGGTTTCTGCCACACTCATACTCCTCCTGTGTGCGGTGACAGTAACTTTGATCTCATCTACATTCGTGTCTTTCTTCGGCGGTCTTCTCACCTTCGAGGTTTTTGTTTCCAGCAGGGCGAAACTTTGGTTCACATCGTCCGTTCGTATGGTCTCTTGGTCTGTAAGAGTTTGATCTTTCCTTACAGATCTCCTGACTTTTGAGTTGTTCACATCTAGGGGTTTCTTTATGAACGCCTCGATTTGGCTTAGAGTTTCCACGTCATCTTTCTCCGCAATTGTTTCGGCTTCTTCAGGCACTATTTCTAATGGTTTTTTGATGAACGCTTCAATCTGACTGAGTGTTTCAGCGTCATCCCTCTCTATATCAGCCTTGATTTTTTCCTGCAAATTCTTAATATCACTTTTCTTGGTGAGTTTGCGTCTCGAAGGGGATGAAACATCTATCTCTGATTTGGATGTGCCAGATTGAAAATCTTCAATTTCACCAGTTTTTGATTCTTTATTCAAAACATGAGCCAATGGATTTTCTGGCCTAGCATTGTCAGAACATGAACGCATGTTTTCATCTACAAAAGACAGTTCAGACTGTGTGTCATGAGAGAGCATAGACATGTCATTCAGAATTACAGGTGGATCTGCCTGAGCAATATTATTCTGTTCATTGGACGTTTTTTCAAGCGACTCTTTCTTGTCTTCTGAAACGCCACAAGGAATCTCAGGTAATATTTGAGTATCTAGCATATACATATCATTTTGATCTTTCTTACCATCTCCATCTGAAACAAAATTATACTCAGTATACTGATAATGAGATTAGAATAAATTCGATATTTCTGTTATACTGGGGGTGTGCAAATAACTTCGGTAAAATTTTTTTTGAAGGCATATTCATTGAACTATATCAGAAACATACAGGGTGTGCACAATTTTCATTCGTTGAGATAAAAAGGCGAAGATTATGGAAGAAGTGTTAGCAGCTAGAAGTTTTCCATCCATGTCTTCAAAGGCTTTCAAATACATACACAAAACCCGTTATCTTCGAATTCGTGATAATAATTCGTATCCTAATATGGAGTATTAATCAAGGTGTGCAATTTTCTATCTATCTATACAAAAATGTGTATTTAAGTAACAAACTGACGTCTGATGATTTTTCCCAACAATAATAAATAGAATACAATACTGTGTATGATATAATGATAATGGGGAAGTTTCCTTCTGATGGAATCTTATCCCAACAGTTTCAAACTGATCAGTTAAATCTTTTTGCGAACTAAAATGCCAATTGAAATGATTTAAATCATTTGTATTTTCGAACTTGAGCAATAAGAACATTTTCAGCCGGCAAGCGATGACGTAATCGATGAATTTAGTATGAAAATAGGTATGATGAGTTTTGCTGTTTGTGATTAAATATTCGTTCTGAAAACGAAAGAAAAATCAGAAGATTATTTTGCAGTGTTCTACCTACCCTAGCAAGGGTAGGTAGAACGTAGAACACTGCAAAATAAGTTGGGTTTCCTCAGTAAAAATATGTCGTAACAGCAGCCGTTTTCAAGATACAAGGCGTTGAAGAAATGTTTTTTTACACATTTTTTACGACTATGTTTAACTCACGGTCGATGGTACGTTAGACGTTTATGGAGAACGGGACATAGGATCATTCTGAAATTTTGGTTGCTCACGTAGTTGCTCTTGGTCTATCGATCTAAAATATTTTCAGCTCTGCGGCGTTGCCACTTCTGTCGAAAAGTAGCAACAACTTTGTTATTTCAAATGGAACGCCCTGTATTTTATTGCATTTTCAGATTCTCTCTGAAGAGCTGATTTCATCGATGTATCACACTTGGGGTCTAGCGGAAATGATTACAGAGATATAGGGTGTGAAAAATCGTCATTTTTCAACTTAAGGAATTTTTTATGTCGAAACTATTCATTATTGGTCAAAACGGCATACATGTCCCTATCTCAACTTTTGATTAACTATCTACTGATATTTAATTGGGACATATACCGGGTGATCAAGATTCTGAATTCTGCACGACCCTGTATTTGTTTCAATTAAATGTCAGTAGATAGTTGATCAAAAGTTGAGATAGGGACATGTGAGCCGTTTTGACCAATAATGGATAGTTTCGACAAAAAAAATTCCTAAAGTTGAAAAATGTCGATTTTTCACACCCTAACACAACTCACACAAGTCTCTGACTTTCGAGGGTTGCTTTGCAACTAAGCTGGCGGTTAAAAAACACTTTTAAAACACTTTTAATATCTCTGTAATCATTTCCGCTAGACCCCAAGTGTGATGCATCGATGAAATCAGCTCTTCAGAGAGAATCTGAAAATGCAATAAAATACAGGGTGTATCTTCAGAGATTCAATATGACTAATGACAATAGTATTCACATTCACAGGAGACAATAGTTCGACCTGGTCCCTAAGAATCACTTATTGAATACTTATACATGGTTGAGTTAAAAAGAATAAAAACTCTTCCGATTCATTGATGGAAGAGAATTGATGGCTCTTAGTTCCAAGTGTTGTCTCGAAGTTAGAGGTGAGTAGGTAGGTTCATGGTAAGTCTATTATACTTGTAAGATGCTTAATGTACTAATAAAAATATTCTAGTAATCCTAATAATGATGGAGATTTTATTTGATCCCAATTTATTTTGTGGCACGGACAGTGTAATGCCCAAGTTCCCAGAATCAGAAATACGAAAAAAGAAAAAGAAGACAAACTACATTGTTAACCTAACTTCCTATATCGGCTGTCACCCCTTCATTGTCAAATCCTTGTTTAATCTGTAATCCTGTAATGTTCAGAGAACATCGTGAGAACCATGGGAAATAAGGTAAGAATATTCAAAGATAATCCTCATACTATCTGATTCTTCAGTTGTGTGTTGTCTTCTCTGCTGTCTGAAGTGAGTTAGTAAGTATTCAATCCAGAAAACTAATTCTCTATTCATTGAAATGACAATCAGAAATATTCTTGCACTTGTCGATCAGAAATAGAGAATTGATAAGTCGAATCTTATATGGTGTTCTGGGATGATTACGTCACGCGTTTTCTCGCGTTGTTTATGTTATGAAATATTGTTGATTTAAATAATTATTCAAAAGAGTTACAGAGCTCTGAAGAAAAAACGGTTTGCGACAGTGAACTAGTTAGGGTTAATAGCTGGAAATAATGAAATAACATTTTTCACTGATACAAGCCCACTCATCCTTCATCCAGAAACTACTAAGAATCGCCTATAGTAGCCTTGTCACTGAGATTAGTGTCATTTGTTGAAATAATTAACATAGAAATAAAATTCTAAAAGGCTAAGCCAAAAATCTTAATTATTTTTAAATTATCTGTTTCCATTTTTTTTTCGTAAGAATGCATTATTCTTCTAAACGGTTGAGGATCAGCTGTTAGGCCATTTAAGTGGTGTTCAATTCTGAAATGCAACTCTTTATGTGAATTTACCTCTGTATCATATAGACTTTTCACTTGAGATACAACGAAACTGTGTAATGTATAATCCATGTTTTTAGTCAAATTTGTTTCCATGATATTTTTGTGATTTATTGTTCAATCAATAAGTTTAGCATTAGAAATGTATTGTTGTTTTCGGTTTTCAATAAATAGGTGTTTTGTTTAAAAGTTATAGAGAAAAAATCGTCTTCAAGGTGTTAAGCATTTTCAGACCCATATTAATAAGAACTTTTTGCCCTCTTTTAATGCAAGGATTACACCCCCAAAAAGATGCAGCTTACTTTTGAATCACCCACCTCATTTTTCATCATTTTATGAAGGTTATCTGTGAAGGTATATCTAGATCATGGCAAGGGCATAGATCTATCTAGCTCTGATGCATATCATCTCCCTTATCAACTTATCAATGGTAATAGAATATTTGTATTACCAATAACTACTTAAAAAATATATACCTGCTTGTGCATCATTTGGTAGGACACTTATTTGCTGAGTAGGTAAGAAATACACATCATCATCTTTTGAAACCTCTGGATGTTTTCTAGTGGTCTCCTGAGTAGCCTCCACATTAATACATTGGGTGGCCTGAATAAACACATCATCTTCATCATTCTCTACATCCAATTTCTGTGTGGCTTGCTTGAAAATACTGCCATATTTTTCTTTTTGAGATACAGTAACATCTATCTGTTGTGTTGCTACCATATAAATATCATCTTCTATTTTATTGCTCAAAATAGTAGTTAGAGATTCTTCCAAATTTACAGGTTTCTTCTTGAATGTATACTTTTTAGTTGGTACTTTGAAGTCCGGTTGGGTGTCTTGTTCACTGTTGATTTGTTGTGTGGGCATGAAATAAACTTCATCATTCTTAGAGGAATCAGCATCTTCAGCAAATTTCACTGGCATGGGAACTTCCTCTTTTGCACCAATAATTTTTTGAGTTGGTTCGAAAAAAATGCTATCATTTTTTGCTACCTCAGATTCATCATCCATTTGCTGATTATTTTCATTATCAGTAGATATAGAGATTTCATTATTTGGTTTGTTTTTGTCAATATATTCTTCAGTTTTATTTTCTGTACCATCTTCCATAAGTTGTGTTATACCAAGTTTGAAACTTTCTTCTTCAGAAGACTGATTGTCATTAATTTGTAGTTTTGAAGATTTGTAGCTGAATTCTTCTGCAAAGGCATCCTGTGTTGCTGGAATACAGTCTGTATCATTCAAAGTACTCTCTTCAAGTTTTGATGAGTCTTTTTGTTGCATACTGTGTTCCAGATCATCCATGATCTTCTCTGCCACAGTTTTAACTGGTACATCATTGTCTTCAATATCAGTATCTGAATCATCATTACATTTTCCTTGATCTGTTTTCAATTTGTTTTTGTCACTGTTTGAAGCATCAACTTTCTTTTTACCAGTTTTTTCCATGATCTTTTCAGCCACACTTTTAACTGGTTCATCATTGTCTTCAATCTCAGTATCTGAATCATCATCACATTTTTTTTCATCTGTTTTTAATTTGTCTTTGCCACTGCTTGAAGCATCAACTTTCTTTTCACCAATTTCTTCCTCACAATCAGTTTCTGATTCTGAGATATAATCTTTATCAATCTTTGTCAGAGGAACATCCTTGGGAATAACTTTTTTATTTTCAAATTTCTGATTTTTGCTAATTGAATTGTTTGAATCACTATTGGAATCATCTGATTCAAGTCTCTTCAGAGGTTTTTTGATTAAACAGATATCTTGAGTATTATCACTATTATCAGTATCACCATCTGAATCAAGTTTTTTCAAAGGTTTTTTTTTAGTACAGATATCTGGAGTACTACTATCCTCAGAATCCAGTTTCCTTAGCTTGGGCTTTTTTCTTTTTGGTATGTCTTCCTCTGAGTCTTCAATATCAGTTTCAGATCCTGAATCAGAAGATGTCACCTTTCTTGATGAGTGCATATTAGATCCCAAGCTATTTCCTTCTGTTATTGACTTCTGTAAAGATTTTACAGGCTCAGGATTATCACTATTATTTGGTACCACAGAAACTGAATCTTTAATGATTTTTGAGGCATCCTTCAAGTTTACATCTCTATTGCTATTAATATTTTCTTCATCATCAATTTTCTGTATTGTGAAAAAGTCAACAGAATCATTACTGTTTTCATTATCTGGCTGGATGAGTGTTTCATCAATAATACCTTGTGTTCCAATACTTTTTCTACTGTTAACAAGGGATTCTTCTGGTTCAAAATTGTTGATAGTATTCAATCCTGAGCCTGAGGTGGAAGGAATCTGGCTATTATGAATAACAATCTTTTGTTGATTTACTTCTTTGTCTCTAGCAGGCAATGTTGAAACATTGCATTTATCAGGATAAGTCATAATTTGTGTGGCTTCTATATCTTCCTCAATATTATGATTGACAATATTTTGTTGATTTACTTCTTTGTCTTTATGGGACCATATTGGAACATTACATTTATCAGGATAATTCATAACTTGCGTGGCTTCTATATCTTCCTCAATATTCTCTAAGACCTTTTGTTTAGCAATTTCTGGTTTATCAGAGGAGCTATCAGAGTAAGTGACTACTTGAGTAGGAGCATCATGTATATCATTCATATTTTTTTCAATTAATCTTGAAATTGAAGGTTTAGCAAATGGCTTGTTGAAAATGGATTTTGCTGTACATTGTTTTGGATATTCTTCAACTTGGGTTGCCATGTCATGTATATCTTCTATTACATTTAGCTGCTGGCTTTTCTGTAGAGAAATATTTGAGTAATTGTGTTCATCTGACTGATTCAAAGTTGATGCATTAATAACCAGTTGTGTATTAGATGCATAGAAGTTTTGGGTCATGTTTTGAGTCATTTCAAGAGTTTCTTGCAAGTTTACAGTTGTATTGTTATTGGCTACCTGCAAAGGTTTATGGTTATTATCAATGATAGATTATAGAGGAAATTGTTATCACCTTGGAATATTTTGCTTCAACATCTCCGAATTTTATGTCAGTTCCATTTGTCAGTTCATATAATTTGAAAGGGAATAATTTAGCATTATGAATAAAAGTACCATTTGAGGAATTGAGATCACTGATAAAATGCTGGTTTTCATCTACAATCACAATAATGGCTTGGTTCTGACTCACATTCTGAAAACAGAAAATGCATAATAGATAATAGGGTTCCTACATTTACCATTACAATGTTTTTTATTTCATATTATTTACCAAATGCTTGATATTGATTATAGCAATCTTATTCCTCCCTATCGTGTTTATTCCTTTAAACACAGGGTACTGTTTTTCACCCAAGAGCAATGATGCTGCCTGTAAGTAAATTCCAAAGGTAAGTAGTAGATACTAAACAATGAGCCATTATATATTACTTGAATTCGTTTGAATTGATCCACTTTGACTGAATTTGTTTGTTCCATTGTTGATATAGTCAGATATCCAGAATCCACAATCAAGTAATTCGAATTTCGAACTATAAAAATTTTTGCATTTTGTCTTGCCTTGTTTATTGTTTATTTATTTTTCAGCACATTTAATAATTTGTGAATTTGACAGTTTGAATGACTGGTTTGACTTACTAATGTCAACATAGTCATTGTCAGCTGTCAAATTGTATTACATTGGCGGGAAAAACGCTAGACATTGGAAAAACCGTGAATCTCGGGCCAGGACCGTAACATGGGTGTCGGCTTCATTCTGTTTTTACCTGCGAAAAAGTTGGGGTGGTTTTGAGGTGTTTTCTACGAAAGCGCTGAAGGGACATGGTAAATATTTTTTTCAAATATTTTTCACATATTATAGCAGCTTTGAAGGGTACGAAAAGGGACACGGTGAAATGATAAAAAAAAACTTTCACACTCTTATGTCCCTTCAGTACGAACGCTCTTGAGAGTTCAATAGGTCGAAATTTCGTCTCAGTAAGTAAGTACTAAGTCAAAATTTTGTCATTTCATCTTCGTGTTGTCTGGGTAAACAGGGTCATTCACCTACCAAAGTCATAAGATGTTCATAGAAAACCAAAAAAGGCATCAATTTGAAATTTCGGGTACTGCTATTGCGTGATGTGATCAAATTTTCTAAAATATTTTCAATTTGCTGTCATGCACTTCCGGTCGAACCGGAAGTAGCATTAACTTCTTTTTTTTATAGAACACCCTGTATATCATTGCATTTTTCTTCCTGATGAGCTGATTCATTCCATCAATATATCATACTATGGGGTCTAGCAGGAATGATTACAGAGATATGGACGCGGGGGGGTGTTCAAAATCGAGATTTTTCAACTTTAGGATTTTTTGTGTGGAAACTATTCATTATTGGTCGAAACGGCTTGCATGTCTATATTAACTCTTGATTAACTATCCATGCACTGATGTTTAATCGGAACAGATTCATATATATGGTGATCATCAGAATTCTGAATCTTGATCCACCGTGTATTTGTTCCAGTTAAATGTCAGTAGATATTTATTTAAAAGTTGAGATAAGGTCATTCAAGCAGTTTTGACCAATAATGAATAGTTTCGACACAAAAAAATCCTAAAGTTGAAAAATCCCGATTTTGAACACCCTATCTGGAAATCATGTCCGCGAGACCCCAAGTGTGATGTATTTATGAAATCAGCTCTTCAGGGAAAAGTTGATGTCACTTTCTGGTTTACCTGAAAGTGAAGCTTATATAGTAAATGTTTAAAAAAAAAATAGATCCCATCACGCAATGGCTGTTCCCAAAATTTCAGATTGATGTGAATTTTTCAGGTGACTGACTCTGTATATATAAATATGCCCCCTTCACGTCGGTGAACCGAACACCCTGTATATTTTGCGACTATTTGAGTATATTTTTTATACATATACAGCGTGTCTCATTTCAAACACCCCCTCCTCTATCCCAGCTATCAGTCGTGCGATCTTTACCAAATTTGTTTGTTTGTTTGTTTGTTTGTTTGTTTGTTTGTTTGTTTGTTTGTTTGTTTGTTTGTTTGTTTGTTTGTTTGTTTGTTTGTTTGTTTGTTCTATCCGTCATTCGGTTGCCCCCTTACGAGCAACCCTCAAAAGTCTTCGGAAGTCTTGTGCGAGCAAGGATTGACGGGGGCCTTACCTTTCAACGTGTGATCCCAAACACTTTCTTGGGCCATCAGAAAAATTTCTGCAGTCGACGGGGATCGAACCCACGACCGGCAAGCGAATGCGAATTAGAATATAGACACTCTGTCCGCACGGCTACCTGGCCAAATTTGTATCAAAGACAAACATCATTTCAGACAGTGCCGTGCATTTTTATTGAAATGAATAGTGGTCAGTTTTTTATAAAATAATATTAGGCATTTTTTCACAGGAAAACTGACATATTTATTTGAGACTGAAAATGAAAAAGATTAAGCCAATCCTGTTAATTCGGAATCAGGTGATTTTTTGCATATGGGGTTTCGAAAGCATGAGGAACAATAATATGAAGTTAGATTTCCTGTAAAAAAATGCCTAATATGATTTAATGAAAAATCGACACCATTGTAGTTCAATAAAAACGCACGGCGCTGTCCAAAATAATGTGCATCTCTGTAAAACTGATCATATTGATGGTTATTCATACCACACCAAATTTGGTTATAATAACTGAGATATAGAGGGGGAGCCGTTTGAAGTGAGACACGCTGTATGTACTAATTGTACTATCCTGTGTATTTTTTACCATTTTCGGAGATATATGACTTCATATTTTCTCTAGACCCTCTGAGAAGTCTCAGGTGACCACCTCAGTGGCCCAACGGAACCATCACCCAAGTTTTCTTCGTTGTTACCAAATAAAATAGAAACTCACAGATACGTCGATATTATTTTTATTTTTGAAAAGAGACATGTGAAAACATTGTATTTTATCGTACGGCACCTGTGCCAATCACTATCATGTGCAGAATGATCGAAAAACGGCACTTTACTGTGCGTTTATTTGCACTCAATTTCGCTATTTGATAAGGAGATAAAAATATAAAAGATAAGAAAAAAAAAGATGAGAAGATGTGAAGATGATGGAGTGAAAATATGAGATATCATATATTGAATAGTCATTAGTAGTTTGGTGTTAATTCTTTAGGTTGCAGAAAAAAATAGCATATTTCGTTCGGATCAAAAGTGACACTTTGTTTGACAAGCGAATTTTGCGTTTGAGAGGCGAAGAAGCAGCAGTCAATGTTTGCTGAACTTCTTCTTGCAATGAAATACTCTTGCGAGTCTTGCGTGTCTCAGAAAGATATGAAAGCAATTCATTATCATCACAGTCATCATCAAATTCAGCGATATCATAAGCGGTGACAGCTGATGTTGATGCAATCGACGAAGATGGATCTGAATTTGTATAAGTGTCTGCTCGAGTGCAATATTGTTAACCCTTTGGGGGCGAATTTAATTTCCATGATGGTTCTCAGCATTAAGCTGAAAATTCTATATTTTAGGGATGTACAAATGAGAAAAAAATGGGTTCTTTTAATTGTCTAATTAGTATTTTTAATAAAAAATGGTGGTACCTCTATGGTACCACTAGGAAAGTAATGAAAAAAATTATCTAAGACATCGTAATATAAATTTTTGTGGGAAGCCTGAAAACAGTTAGTTTTCTCGGTAAGACAAAGACGCAACATTGCATTAAGGTTCTTTGCATGTGGAGCAATGCCATATCTAGTTCGATGCGGTTGCAACCGTGTGCTGATGCTCTTAGATTCCATCCAGAGAAGAGCCATTCGCCTGGTGGGTGACGCTACACTCACTCACTCTTTGACATCATTGGAACACCGTAGAAAGGTCGGCAACCTTTCACTTTTCTATCGATACTTCCACGGGAAATGTTCTTCGGAAATCTCTGCTATCATCCCTCCACTAGCAATACCAATCAGACGAACTAGACAAGCCCAGTCAGCACATCCTTTCGTCGTCAACCTCGAAAGATGTCGAACAGCACTTTATCAAGACTCCTTCATCCTTAGAACGGCTAGGCTCTGGAATTCATTGCCTGTGGAAGTATTCCCAACAACATATAATCTCCAAAAGTTCAAAAAAAAATCCAATACCTACCTCCTGTCCCTATCCTCCCTAGGAACGCACGATGTTCTTTGAGCATTATAGGGATTCCCTTTCGTGCGCTCCAAGCGATAAAAAAAAATCGGCATGTGAGCAACTACGTATCTCCTTTCGAGTGGTACCTTGAATCGATTTGGTGAAACCTCAGTGATTCGTCTTCTTGATGGGCTAGGCATTGCTGGATCCTAACCAATCGGTCCAGTCACTATCGCAAAGCAAAAAGTAGGAAGCAGAAAGAGCAGCCTCTTGCATTCTTCGAATGTGTATGACTGGATTCCGAGAGCATGCTTTGAACCAGATGAAAGCATTGACTAAGTCAACGAAATGCCAAAAAAGTCTTGGTCCTCATTTTTGAAACTTTTTATCCACTTTGTAATTACCAACATACTGGTCACATCTATCTATATGCGGAGTTCATGTGCATGTTGTAATCCTTCACCAAGGTCAAATATGGAATATCAGGATAACTGTATTGAGTTTTTTTAATCTAAACTATCTCCGCGTTGATTCACGAGGTTATATAATTTTCCAATTCCCAGTCTGAAGAGGTATTTTATTGTGTGTGTGTGATGTCTTCATCAGTATCCAGAAATCCAGTTAGTAATCCAGTATCTTTAAATTCATCATCAAGTAACTCATCGTTGTTCTCTAATCCATCTTCAGAAGGAGCTTCTGAAGTAAAAGAGCTCTCATCTGAAGAAATGTCTTCGAGTAAGCAGAACGCATCATCAGAATATAACTTGGTAAGGTTGATCAAACCTTTTTCTTTTCTGAAAGAATAAAACATATTTGTACTTATATGACAATCTCTCACAAGCGAGATTGTCATATAAGTACATTTGTGATCGTAATCATTGATTCGTAATAGAGAAAAAACAAAAAAATCAACACCCTCAATGTGTGTACTCACATAATCATAATTCAATCAAAAATATAGTGTTCTTTGTCTTTCGAAGTATAATTCTGTTGATTTTTAAATCCTCAGAAAGAAACACTCGTCAATAACCTTGCAAAGACAGAAATTCCAACAAATGTGTTGCAGGAACGTGGCATAACCCGGCCGCGGGACTAGGAAGTCATCAAGCTACACAGACACAGTCTGCAAAAGTTGTCCCGTCAAGGATCAACGCTCACTATGCCCTATGCCGCATAGAAAATTATTTTGAATTGTAGCTCCAGTATGGAACCGATGGGGTTAAACTCGCGATGAGATCTCGTCCATTTTTGACCGAGATCAATGACGCCATTGGCGCTAAAAAAGGCCGATATCTCGCGAAAACGATATTGCATTCCAACATCCTAATAATAAGAACCCTATATATAATAATTTCTAAAACAATTAGTGCATATAACAGTGGTTGAAGTTGGCCTCGATGGCAGCTCAAAAATGATGTCACCGTCACCGACTTGATTAATGTGTATTTCAAATACCTAAGCGTTGTTTCTTCTTACAGATTTTCTTCTTTTTACCTCTCGAAACATGTTTTTTTCTCCATGACCGTTGGTCATTATTAAATTGTTTATGTGGTGGAGTTGTGACTGTAAGTTCTTTCACCACTT